GCAGATTTTTCACTTCTGTGTAGATAATCAGCCATAAAAATCTAAATTGATGAATCTCTAGTTTATCTTATTTTGAAAATATTTTCAAAATATTAAAAAAATGAGTTTTTCTTTTCAATAATCCTTATTTCCTGCTCATTCAAACCTTCATAAACAATGAACTTTTATTCATAATGTATTAAAACAAGCATAAGAGGAAAACCTTTCTCTACATTGAACCATAGATAATTTCCATGATCTAATTTCAAGAAAAGTGGCTGAGCAGCTGTTTGTTGGAAAAAACAAAAACCTCCAAACAAATGAAACAAGAATTAAAGTTTTTTTCCTCATAAAAAATTAATTTCTGAGTCTTTTCCAACTTTAAGGAAGCTGTAATAATAAAAATGTAGACCCTTCATGTGGTTTAAGGGGCAGAAAGATCTCCCCTGACCTCCACAGACCCTTCCACATTCCTGCCGTCTAAGTGATGAACTGCATTGTTTGGTAATTTTACAGGCGGGATGTGAGCAGCCACATCAAACATGCTTTTTTAAATGACCAGTCAGAAATTATTCATCGAGATTCCAGCAGGGTTTTCCATTGTTCCAGTCCACAGGCATCCGAAAGCATCGAGAAAGGATTAAACTAAAACGACGTCCTCACCTTGGCTCTTCATCTTTTGAACGTTTTGGACAATATTTCTTCACCAGATTCCTACAAGGGAAAGGGGGAGACATAAAAGCTGAAGGCACTGTCTGAAATTTTAATCCTGCAGGTACAAAAATGCTGAAAGTCAGACTGACACACATGCACACACACACAAACGAGAGGAGAGACATCCAAATTCAGCAGGAAAGGATCCAAGCATTAGAGATGAATCAAAGATTTAAACATCAAAGTCTTCGCCGGTCGTTTCCCTGAGGCTCCTGGAAATGCAGTTTGAATGAATTAACCGGAGCACGGCTAAAGGTGTGTTAGGCTGCATGTTTATGCAGATGCATGTGTGAGAGAGCTGTTATCAGGAAAAAAGAAAAAGGCTGGAAACAGACTCATACAGAGATACACATTCAGTCGTTCCTCATTTGATTCTTAAAGAAGTTTGCTGGTTTCTACCAGTTTGGTTATGAAGAAACAGAAACAGGCATTTTCATTCTTTATTTCAATATTCTCAACATCAATATGTCGACACGTTGAAGCATGATGTCACACCAAGACCCCGCCCCCAGCTTCCTGCTGGAGGGCCAAAAAGCTGCCCGCTAACAAGACTAGCATCGGTTTCAGCTGTTAAGTTGTTAACCTAATGCAGTAAATACTAAAATAAAAAGGGACACAGTGCTTTGCTACTAATTGTCAATATAATGACAATTTGATAAAGTCAGGAAACGGCTTTAATCAAAAAATAGCACGAGAGAGGGAAATAGGTCAGCTATGCTAGCTTGACTATGACAACCTTCACATGTAGATGTGCTGTGGAATCCTATGTGTTTTGGTTCAGTTAAAAAAAACAAATAAATAGATAAAAAAAAGGCGACCTGAACACCAACTCTGTCACATCATCAGTAGAGCAGGTGTTTAAATTAGCTAATCAACCAGCGCTGTGTTAGATTAGCTAATAGCTAATCTAACACAGCTATTAGCTATTAGCTAATAGCTAATCTAACACAGCGATCACTTAAATAAACATCAAGCCTGAAAACATGAAACTGTAAAGGACTGAATGTTCTGCTCTTTATTTGTGTTATTTTTTGGTGTTGAATTCTGATACGTTAGCGGTGTTGTTGCTGGTTGCTATGGCAACAAGTCTGCGTAGCACAGCTAACGTAGAGAGAGAAGAAAAAAGAAGAATACAAGTGGCTTCGAGTTATGCTTCAATGGTTTTTATGCATTATTTTTCACTTTTGCACGCTGCACTAAATTAATAATACCTACATCTCCAGAAACGCAGCTACTGTCTCAGTATTTTTTAAAAATGAAACCAGTGAAAATGTGACAACCTTCGACTTCCTACGCATCATTAGAGAGAAAAATGGCTAAAATTTCAGCCATGATTGCAGGATATACAGGTAAGAATATATTTTTGAATCTGACAGCAGTAATACAAGGATTTGTGTGTGCGTGCATCTACCGTAGCTGCTTGGCATAGTTCTGCTCTATGTCCAGCCTCTCCTTAACAAACTTTGCATAGCGCTCAAGGAAGTCAATCCCCCACTGGGTGTGTTTGTCCAGATTCTCAAACTGGTCCTGAAATAAAAAAAAACAGGACAGAAAATTAAAAGAAAGAACAAAAGAAAAAAAAAACTTTACATGTGTTTTAGAAAACAACCACATTTCAGAAACCATTTTTATGCACATATTAACATATAAACATTAATTTGTACCAGTGTGCACAGTGTGCATGTGCAGACAAATGGTTTCTTATGGAGGTTCAAGATACATTTATTCTGTGAAAAACATTTATACAAAATACAAGAATCTCATATTCCAGTCTGTTGTTTGTACTTACAGCTCCATGCGTACAATAATACCAGGCTGAAAAACTACAATATTTTACAATATTTACTGTATAACATGGGTATCTAAAAATAAAATCAGGAGAAGAACAAACTGTTCATTCAGGCAGGCAGAGAGTGAGACTCCAAGCTGATAACAGGAAGGCTTAACAGATGAAAACAAAGTTGTTTTTTTCCTGAGCTATTTTGCTAACCTAATGATTTTAATTGACATTTTTATAACAACTGATGTTATTATAGTTACTTGATCAAGTGATCAAGTATAATGAACTCAACAGCTCCACCAGGTGTTTGCTAATTGCTGCTGGCTAGTCTGAAGGAGCTGAGTGTGGGAGGAGCTTTGCCTCAAAGGCGGAGCTAGAGCCACCCAGGCGTTTAGCACTGCTGAATGGTTGCCATGGAGATTAAAGGATTTCTCAATGATGAAAAAATCAAAGCAACACTCCAGGTTTGTTTTTGATGAGGCAAACATTATAAGTTTATGTAAAGCTAAAAAAAAAAAGTCAATTTTATATAATTCTGCCCCTTTGAATTAATGGATCAAACAGAATAAAACAGAAAACAAGATGGCTGAACATGACAGAGACCTGCCTTTCCTCCATCAACATACACTAAACCAGAACTGGGGACGTCATTGATCAGTTCTCTCACATTTGTTCTGGACGATAAATTGTCCCAGAAGTTATCACAGTAAATGATAATATTATTGTTTTGAGGCCATTTTCAAGTTCTTGGATTATTAAACCATTAATAATCCAAGAACACATTCGCAAAGATCAATAAACTTTAAATTTAAATGGACATTTAAACACTGGAACTGGAAGATATTTTAAATGAAACAACTGAAACCAAAAAGTCCAGTTGAGATCAAAACACCAGACTGAAGAGTTTTATCATCCAGGTTTTGGTAGAAAGAGAGAAATGATAAATCATGCAAATGGAAATTATTGAGCTTGTTTTAATTGATCATATTATTAATTGATTTACTGCTTATTGTGACAGGTGTATCTCGAAGGTAATTCAGTGACCAACAGGAAGGTCATATTTCAGTTGAACTACAGGACAGAATGTAACTGAATCAAAAGCAGAGGATGTAATCATGTTTGCTGCCTGCAGCAGCCACCGGCTGAAGAAAACGCCGACTAATTATTGAACAAACAAAGCGACCCAGCAAGTCTGAACTGTGAAATAAAAACCCTGCGCCGGCCTCTTAAAGTCCTGCACATTTTTTGTTCAAAAAAGGAAAGAAAAACAGAAACAGGAGGTTTGACTAAGACGTGAAGCAGCAGTTAGCTCAGAGCCTCGCTCTGAATCACAGCTGTTGAGGTTTATTCTGGGTTTGTTTTAGCCGTCTTGCTCACGTCTGGAGCATCTCTCCGGCGCGTTCGCCTCCTGGTAGCTGCAAGGCGGCGATTGCATCAGCCTGTGTGACGGAGCTATGAATAAGTAATAGACTATGAGCTCATGCTGTAGTTTTTGGCTGCGTCTCCAGGTTCCTGTTCTCTCCGTCCGCAGGGAGAAAAACGGAGATGAAAACTGGAATCTGTTAGCAACAAGCGCATGAAGATGGATGTGAAGATTTTATTTAATTCTGTTTCAATCACTGATTACTTTCACTTTTAGTTAGTCAATTAATTTGCTCACAACAGAAGTTCATTATGATGATTTAATTTCCCTTTAGGACTTTTAAATTGAACTGACTCAATCTGAATAATAGATCACAGAAGTGACTTTATTTCAGACTGTCAGAGAGAATGCATTGGCCACTTTTAACTCCACTACAACATGTAAAAATCCTGTCGCAATTAGCAATAAATCAATGAATAATATAATAAATTCAAACCAGCAGAATCATTTCCATTTGCATGATTCATCATTTTTCTTTTTCTTCCAAAACTGGATGTTGTCCAGTTCCAGTGCTAAATGTTCATTAGAGTTTAAAGTATTTTTTCTTTGACAGTGTGTTTTTGTATTATTATGCCAATATTACCATTATAATGCTTGAAAACGGTCTGAAAAACATTATTATCGTTTATCGCGATAACTTCTGGACAATTTATCATCCAGCAACATTTGTTATCGCAACAGGCTTAGCGGTAGATTCAGTTCTTATTGTTGGCACAGACTGAAACAGCATTTTGATAACTTGATCAGTTTTGTAGGAATTTTGATTCTAATAGATCAACACCACATTAGCACAGTTCTTTCTGTGTCCTGCCAGTCAGCTGGCTGAAACGCGGTCTACAACACTGTTCTGTAAAAATAAAGAAAAAGAAATGTAAATCTAATAAATATCGGTATTGTATTATTAATATCACTAGAAGAGACACGTAGCTCTGTTTCCATCAGGGTCTTCCTGAGGAAAATCCTGATTCAGGAATCATAACGTCCACAAAAAATAAACCCATCAATCAGATTTTTATTTTTTGTGATGCTAGGGTGCCGTTTTATTTACAGGCGCACCAATTGCACTTTTCTTTAAGAAACTCAACATGTGGACTCTGAATTTGGCTGATAAATTGTTTTGTTGTTTGAAAAGTCGCTAAATATAGAAACAAAGCCTGTAATTTGGGATGCCTACAGTTCAGGCTGATTTATCGGCGCCGATACTTAGATGTGAAGCCGATCTTATCTACATCAGCAAAGGTCCAACAATCAACCACTGTTCATTTCTGCTCTGCTGTCAGATACGTCTGGCTGTCAGCCCCGCCTGCTGCACGTTTCTTTATCATGACTTTCTTACTATATTTAGCAACAAATTTCAGATTTCAGACGAAATAAAATCAGAATTGGCCAAAATCGGAATCAGCATATCAGTTTTTAAAGATCAGCGATCAGTCAGAAAGCTGCAATCGAAGCATATGTCATGTTTTTAAATCCATTTTCTTTCTCAGACAGGAAGTTTTGTGCTTTTTAAAAATTATTTAGTGATATATCCATGCTTTTCTCTCTTTGAAAACCTAAAAATGGAAAAAGAAAGATGATTCTGAATAAATAAACTTCCTGTGGATATTTCTAAAAAATTAGTATCAGCATTTTCTGTGGAAATTCACTCCATGTTGTCACAGCAGTAAAACTGATTAATGAGCAAAATATAAATGACTAAAGGGGAGACTATGCTGTAGAAACATCACTAAAATATAATAAGTTCAGCTATTTGTTATAAATCACTTAAAAAGATTAAAATGTTTACGAATGAAAGTAAAATCGGTAAAAAAGAAGGACATCTAATACTTGGAGTATTTTAAAGGACATAAAGGGAAGAAGTGCAGTTTCAGGACCCTGAGCAACATTTTATCAGTCTTGACAAACTTGACCAGTCAGACATTTTTTACCCCTGAGATCTGACACCTGAAAGGCTGAGAGCTCCACTTCTTCACCACTTATCTGCTGTGATTCACTCACATCGCAATCTGGGAACAAATGAGTCACTTAGAGTCCAGAAGACGAAACTGAAAAAATCCTCATAAGCAGATTCCATCAGTTTTCCATACAGCGTTAATCTGTTGGCGTTACACAGGAAAAACACACAATTAATTAGCAGAGCTAATGCTGCGAACACCAGGAGCTGATCACACAGAGGAGAGCAGAATCTGATTCACACTGCAGGAAATGTCAGCCTGGCTGCAGACCCCGGGCTGCGTCTGCACACACACACACACACACACACACACACAGGCTGCCGACCCCCGGGCTGCGTCTGCACACACACACACACACACACACACAGGCTGCAGACCCCCGGGCTGCGTCTGCACACACACACACACACACACACACACACACACAGGCTGCAGACCCCCGGGCTGCGTCTGCACACACACACACACACACAGGCTGCAGACCCCTGGGCTGCGTCTGCACACACACACACACACAGGCTGCAGACCCCCGGGCTGCATCTGCACACACACACACACACACACACACACACACACCTTCCTAAAGACACTGCCCTCTATGTTAGAAGGCCTTTGTTTTGTTGTGTGCTGGATGTTGAACATTTTAGTGTTTATTGTCAGTTTTCTCCAGAGGTCTAAGATATTCAGGGATTATTTGTTTGTAAACTTGCAACTCGGCTGCAGAAAGAGCCGGCCGGCCTTTAAGCTGTTACCAGTTGCCATGGTTACCCACATTTATTGTGACATTTTGACATTAGACTATGACCAAATTAGCATTAGTGCTGACTTTAATCTCAAAATCCGAACTTTTGTCTCAAAATTCTGATTTTAATCTTCTCATAATTATTTTTTTCCAGTGACCCTAACCCCCATTCGAACCTGGACTCTTGAAATCTGCTAGACGTCTTTTATTCAACGAGCTGTTTGCAGTGTTTTATCTCCAACCTTTGAGCACAATCACATTCCCGTGGATATTTGATTTGTTTCCTTTTTTATCTTTTTTACCCTGCGGCAGCAAACGTCCAAAACTCTGGCTGACAGGCCAACCTGAGGGGATGCCTGGGATTAAATTCCAGTGTTTCGGTGGATTAAAATCGAGCGGAGGAGTGTTATGAAGGAAGGAGGACTCTTGGTCTCTTCTGGAGACATTTGTTTTGGTTATCTGTGCTGCGCTGCAGCCCAGTGAGTTCCTGTGAAATGTTCCTCCCATTGTGAAACGAAGGCAGACATTTGCTTTCAATCAGTTCAAACTGTTCCTCTGAGTTTCTTTCTTCCTCTTATGCAACAGCCGAGGTTTTGTTATTCAGTCTGTTATTGTTTACTTTTCCAC